CCAGCCTATGCTGAGAGTGAGCTTTGATGAGGTCAGAAGCCCAATGGGAAGTTGTTAAGGGTTATTGCATCCAGGCTGTGCTGGGAACATGTGGCTGCATGCTTTTCCAGGTCTCTGGACTCTTGGCTGAGATGCTCTTGGCAGATTTTCCAGTATTGGTCCCAGGATGGACAGGAGTTAGGCCCATGGTCTTCTGGAGGTTCTGGGAAGGGGTTAGTCTCCAAACCCCAGTCAAATTGTTTGCCCTCCATGAAGTATCATGGCCTTGTGGTGGCTCTAGACAAAATGTGGATAGGGTCATGTCTGAGGTATTTTAATCCTTGTCCTGAACTCTTCCCCAAAACTTTCTGGTCACTCCAAGAAGATATCAAGCTGTAAGCATGGAGCAGGTGAATAGAAAAGAATATATATATATATTACTGGAGCAGAGGAAGAGGTGTGTGAAATATCCTGCTCTTTAGAAAATCACTCAAGTTGTCTTTACTGATGACTTTTTTACACTTATGTAAAATATCTAATTTCACTTGGCTTTTCCAGCATTACATGGCATTAAAACTTTCGAAGTACTTTCATGTATACCCAGAGTTCTTAAATTAAGGGTGGGGGATGCAAGGGTGTGGTCTGTGAGTGGATTTCAAGGGTCTGAGAACTCTTGGAAATCATCAGAAAAACTGTACACATGTTGTTTTATGGAGGGTAAGGGGGGAAATGGTCACAGGAATAAACAAGGAGTATTTGGCTTGTCCATGGATGGGCTTCAGAGCAGTCTGTGAATCCCTTATTCATATGCAAAATAGTATGAGAGCCTACAATTTTCTGTTGTAAAGAGTTGATTCCATGGCTTACATTTAGAAGGGGATGGTGACCCCCTAAGAGGTTAAGGATTATTGGAATAAAGTAGGCTCCCGTATTATTTATGGGGCCTAGGCATTACTAGAAATGGAGATTCCCCTTTTTCTTCCCACCTCTGCTATTGGTGCACATTTGAAGGTATATCACACACTAGCCTAAATGTCCAAGCTCAGTTCACCTGCCCCTCACACACAGTCAGGGCCTTAAGTTACATCAGTCCCATGGTCCACTTTCATGAATATATGCCTAGGGTTGAGGCCCATGTAGGCCCTAGAAGTGGGCCACTTGAGCCAGGAGATCCGGGGGTCCAAGTTTCCAGAGCATGGTCTAGAATTGAGGGATGGGCACAGGTTCCAGGTGGGCACTTCCTAGCTGCCCTTGGACGCCTCATCCTATGGAGAGGGACATAGCCAGAAGATGTCAGAGTGAGGCTCTCTCCCTGGGTTTAAGGCAATACTGGTGTTCCATACTGCTCTTGAAAACAATCTATGTGAGGAAGTTGATGGTTTTGGAAGTTAGCCCCATATTAGGGCTGAAGAAAAAGGCTCTTCACTGTGAAAATGTAGTGGAACCTGGTTTTTTTTTCTTCTAGTCTAGTTCTTTTTCCACTTAATCCACAAAAGATGTGTTATGATAGGGTCTCTATGACCTAGATTTACCTCACCTGGCTATGACTGTAAGCTGGTTCTTGGGTTATATAGAACATAGACTAAAGGAAGAAATAAATGAATTCACTCTGTGGTGTCTTTTCTCTGGATGTATTTAACTAAAAAGATCAAACATTTGAAAGTTTATGTCAAATTTGGATAATTGATCTTAATCTATAGAAAATGCTGTGGGTGGGGGAGGGTATTAATCACTTAAATGTAGGTAAAGAGAAGTGTTCCTGGGAAGAGTGGGAAGTTCACGTAATTTTTAAAAATTGAATCTTGTTATGTTACACTTGGCTTTGAAGTTACTCAATATTTAAAATAAATGCAATAAAGGGGGAATATTTTTCATCAAATAAAACCATCCCTTTAATTGGTCTATTTTGATGATTTAATATTAATTATAATATTCAAAGAGAATCCACACTTGTATTGCTGTATTGATTATTTTTATATCAAGCTGGGTTATACTTGAAGGGTTCTTGGTCAAGCTTACCAGTAACAATAAAAAATACCACATTTCTATCTTTACTTAGAAATATGAGTATTATAAAGGACTGAGAGGCAAAAATCATGCCTCTTTTTCCCACATGCTTCTCTTCTAGTTATGTCCTACCTAATCTCTCCTACCCACTCTACCCTCTCCCAGAATCCAGACTTGGTTCCTCATTACCTATGGTTCCCAGGGAGACAACTGCAGGTGATTCTTACTGAGTTAGCCTAGGAAATGAAAGGTGGACAAGGTTTCTGAGACTGAGGAGCGGAGACCTTTCAAAAGTAAAAAGAGCAGTGTCAACTGCTTCTGCTGTCACTGCTCACTCAGTGCAAGCTGGCTTGGGCTGTGTCATAGAAAATGGAGAGACAGAGCATGGCCTAGAGTGTCACCAGCCTGAGTGAGGGCTGAGGTGTAGAAAGTTCTAGAGATACCTCTAAGAGGAGGGGCACCTTCTAAAGGGATATCCTTCAGGGGTGTCCATCCCATGACTTGTGGTCCACATGTGACCCAGGATGGCTATGAATGTGGCCCAACACAAAACCATAAATTTACTTGAAACATTATGAGATTTTATTTGCTTTCATTAATGTTTGTTATTTAATGCATGGCCCAAGACAACTCTTCTTTTTCCAGTGTGGCCCAGAGACACCAAAAGTTTGGACACTCCTGTGATGGAGTAGATACCAAATGGGAAGCAAGATAAGGGTTTCTTATTCTTGAGGGCTTTTGTTCACTGAATGGGGAGTTCCCTTGTCCCTTTTGCTCCCTTTTAGCCTTCCTAAAAGCCTGTTGACACTTCCCATCAACCACATTTGGCTTACAGAGGATGGTCTCTTTTGGGCAGCCTCTCACTCTTTTGATCATCAGTGGGGAAGCCACGCCAGTGGGTGTGCTGGTCACAGACACATGATAAGGGGCTGAAAGGTGAGGAGGACCACACTGGTGATGTAATCTTCCAGACCCCTTTCCTTCTACACTTGGTTTTTTTCCTTCATGGCTTCCCCCACTTATTCCATATCATCAGGGATTATGTACTTCTTTGTTGGAAGATATTTCCCTCTGTATACAGTAAATATCAGACATGGGTTCTTATTTGTGTCCAGGCCAAGTGTCTTTTATATGAGTATGTAATGAGTCCCTGGGTGTGGTGGTGTGAGGAGTTAGAAAGCTCAGAAATGGAAAACATTTAACATTCAGAGTACCAAATGATTACAGCTTGCCCATTTGCATTTTCCCTTTTACTCTGACTCATCTTCCCTTCTCCCACCTTATTATTGCCCCTATACCAGCCCCACCCATTATCACACTCTGTGTAATCTAGGAAGGGTTAACATTTGCCTAGAATGAAGGGTTGAGGGCATGTTAGGTCTGGAGAGAGAAAGTAGGGGCTGGTCCGAACACTTTGGGGTCCTGGAGCCAAAGGGAGAAACAGGAATTTAGAAACACAATATTTGGACCTAGGAGGGAATCAGGATCTAAGGGAGAAGCCTAAGGGGGAATCAGATTATGTCTTGTCACCAGAGCAGCCTACCAGTGCCTCATTAGTTTATTTTCCAGTTATCTATTGGGCACTATATGATATGCCAGGCACACATAAATGATTTATCACTTGTCGAATAAATGAAAATTTGCCGCAGCATGATGAGGATAATGGAATAATAAGAAACCGAAAAAATTTTGTTGAGTTTCTCAGACTTCATCCTTTCCCCAGGTTAACAAGTGCTAAAGTGTGAAAAGAGGGGAAATCTCCGAGGACCTTGACCCTTTGGGCAGGAAGTGAAAGAAACCCCAGAGTCCTGATTTCAGAGAAATGTCATTTGTCATCAACCCAAGAAAAGAAGTTTTTCTCTTTGAAGACCACTACAGACTCTTTCTGGGGTGGCCCCCTTCAGAGCTTGATGGAAGGATATGAGTCATTCACACACCCCATCCCCGGTGGTAGCCCAGATGACAGTGGTCATTCCCACAAACCAGTCAATGCTTCGTAGTACCAAGTCAGGCATGCTTTTGGCCCTCTTTCACTCTCTCCTTGGAATCCAGATATTTTAGTCTTTTTCACTTCTGAGATAGTATAAACTATCTTCATCTGCTAGGGCTCTTAGAGGTGTCTCGGACACCTCTAAGAGACAGAATTAATACTATTTGAATGATGCTATGTACTGACAAACCACTCTCACATTCATCATTTCATCTTCACCTCTGCCTCCAAATGAGATAAGCAGAGGCTATCCCTACTTCATGGATAAGGTAACAAGGCTCACAGAGATGACTTGCTCAAGGTGACTCAACTAGTAAATGGCAAAGATGAGACTCAAATGCAGGTCTGATTGGTTCAAAGTTTTTGTTGCCTAAGATATACATTTCTTTGACTCTAGAAGTTCACAAATAAAATGAGATGGGAGGTTAGGAGGTAGAATGCCTGCATTCTGGAAGTAGAAGAGGTGTTCTCTCCTGGACGGTCAAGCAGACCTAGGGGTATAAAACCACACCCCATGTGGGGACTGTGGTAGATTGATACTTGGGACACCCAATGGAGGACTGTGAGGTCAGGGGCGGAGTTACTGGGGGGTGGCTGGGCAGGAGGAGCCCAAACAGCAGTTCAGAACATGCGGTGGTTCAGGAGGAAGCTACAAATGGTGAGTGGTTTCTTCTTCCCAACTGAAACTTTCCTCCCATTATACCCCTCTTTCTGTTCACTTCCTGCCAATCTGTAGCCCTCTCCCTGAGGTGTCCAAGAAATAATCCTCCCTCCCACAAGGGTCCCACAACACACCTGGGAATATGCCTGCTGAGCACTGAGACACTTGGGTCTGTCTCTTTGTGTCTGCGTTCCCAGTTTGCTTCTTAAAAACCAACGTGTTGGTTTTGATGTATGATAAATTTCTGCCTTACTGGGTTCTGTCTTTCTATTCTCCACTTTCGGCTTATGAGAAATAAAATTAAACTATCTCCTTATCTTAACTTTGAAAGTAAATAGCCTCTCCCTCTACAGTTCTCCTCTCCCTCTACAGTTCTCATCTCCCTTTCTCTCACTTCCTCAGTGGCCAAAGTCTTCTCCAAAACCTCTCTCCATCCTTGGGTCAAGAGTTTTCTCTCCTGTGGCTTCTGCACCTGTTCTCTTAACTCCCTGGGTTGGCATCTTTGGTGTCTTCCAGTTCCTTCTCTGTGTTCTAGAAGCTTCAGCCTCAAGGAGATGACCGATTGATACCTTGGAGCCTGCCTTCTTGCAGCTATGACCCATGCTTTGCTGACTTTTCTGCCTCAGGACCCTCAGCTTGTGTGGGGACACACCAGCTCTCTAAATTCTCTTAGGAAGTCGTGCCTTGCTCCATTCCTATCTGCCTGGGCTGACTGGGTCTTGTGGTGATCTCTTTGTCTCGAATTAAGAGAGCCTGACCTATTCAGAGGTCTTTCCCTGAAGAGGGGCTCAGAGAAGCAGAAGTATAAGTATCTGCTATCCTTTAAGTATCTTATCCTTTAAGATTGCTAACTGGCAAAATCCACTATATACTAGTCTTAAACCCACTACTTGATATACTTGATATACTACCTGGTCCCCGACTTTTAAGTCCTGACTTTGATCTAATTTCCATTCTCCTGTGACCCCACCCCAGCCCCATGTTATGGTTCTGGGAAAGCTCAGGTCCTCTCTTGGGTTAATTTATTTGCTCCATTCAGGACAGAGAACTCTGATCCAAAACCAGCAACTCACTCTTTCTCCCCTCACCTCCACAGGCTTGAGAATATGCTATTCCTCCCTCCCCTTTCCACCCTGGACCTCACACTGTGGCCTTTGCCTCAGAACCTCTGAGACTGGTACCCAGGCAAGGCAAAATGCCCCTGTCTCCAACAAGACTGCCTAGCCCCTATGACTCTGATCGGCTAGTACGGCTAGCAGCCAGGCTCTGGCCAGCACTATGTGATACCATGATCACTGTGGGGAGCCAGGAGTTCCCTGCCCACAGCCTGGTGCTGGCAGGTGTAAGCCAGCAGCTGGGCCACAGGGGCCACTGGACTTTAGTGAAAGGAATCAGCCCTTCCACTTTTGCACAGCTTCTGTACTTTGTTTATGGGGAAAGTGTTGAGCTGCAACCTGGGGAACTGGGGCCTCTTGAGGAGGCAGCCAGGACCTTGGGGGTACAGTGTCTGGAAAAGGCATGCAGGAAAGCTCAAAGAGACAGGGCTAGAGTAAAGCTGAGTCAAGAGCTGAAGGAGGAGCCAGAGAGACCCACAAGGGATTCTAAGAGAAGAGTGAGGGGTCTTGGAGAGCAGAAACCAGAGAAATTTATTAGAACTGGTGGGAGAGAACAGGAGACAATGCACAATCACAGGTCACTAAGAGACAGCCCTGAGATAGTAGACGCATTGCAGGAGGGTCAGGGGGAGCAGAGGAGATCAGAGGAAAAACCCAACCAATCCCTAGTTGACCACAGAGGTATAGATGGGAAACAAGAAGTGATCATGTGGGTAAGGGAGAGTCCAGGAGGCTCTGAGGAAAGTCTGGGAGAATTGCCTGGCCCCCGTCCCCACCCAGGTTCCCTCCATACTAGCATCACCTCTAGGCCCTGGTGGGCTGAGGCCCCTTGGTTAGGGGAGGGCCAGCCTGCCCTATGGAGGAGCTTCCTGTTGTTGCCGCAGGGATATGGCAGTCCCTTCTCCCATAGCACTCCCATTACTGGAGCTTGGCAAGAGGTCTGGCCTCAGGACCAGAGGTAAGTGAGGGGGCCTAATGGAAGCCTGGTTGGGAGGGAATGGCTCAGGTGAAGCAGTGATAATGGGTGGAAAGGCACCACGTTTCTTATCTTTGTTGTACATTTCCTGAGTTGGAGATAGGACAGCAAGCTCCCAGGGGAAGCCAAAAGTCACAGGGGAAGCCAAAGCCCAGCCCCTGAGAACTCATGACACCTTCCTCTTCAGGATGGGATCAGTCAGGATCATAGGTTTTGCCAAGTCTGTAAATCTACCCCCTCCCCCCCGCCCTCAGGATCCCACTGTCTCTAAATCTCCACAAAAGTCTCTGGAGCCAAAACCAGTTGGCTTTCTCTAGACCTACCTCAGGTAAGCTCCTCATTGTCTGCATGAACCCTGTAATATGGTCTCTCAGCTGGGGCTGGGGCTGCAGGAATCCATCCTGAGCAGGGCCCCTACTTTACTCTGCTTCCTCCAGGTTTCCTCCCCCAGGGCCCCATAAAGCTCAGCCCTGGGGAGATGGAAGAGTCTGAACAGAGGCACACAGGTGAGTAGAGTGAGAGCCATAACTCTCATCATAACCCCTGATGTCTTGCCTGGGTGTTTCAGTGATCCAGCCCTGGGATTCCCAGCTCTGCCCTCCTTTGCCTTCTGTCCCCATAGGTGCACTTGCCACCTGTGTGGGTCATGTGGGCAAAGCAGGCCATCCATCTCGCCAACGTCCTCCTCAGCTCCCTCCTGCTCCGCCCAGGCCCTATTCTTGTTCTGTTTGTGGAAAGAGGTTTTCACTCAAGCATCAGATGGAGACACACCATCGAGTTCACACAGGTACGGGCGTCCTATCTAATAAAAATTGTCTGCTTCTCTCCAAGCACTGGTCTGCTCGCCCCGAAGTCCCTCTCCGCGTGCCTAGCTCCCATGCAACTCCCTTGCCAATTGCCCGGTTCTACCCCTAGGCCAGCCTCGCCCCCCCCCCTTCTTTCCTTCACCAGCCTGCCCCTCCACCCGCCGTAGGAGAGAAGCCCTTCTCCTGTGGCCTCTGTCCTCAGCGCTCCCGAGACTTCTCAGCCATGACCAAGCACCTGCGGACACACGGGGTTGCACCCTACCGCTGCCCTCTGTGCGGGGCCGGCTGCCCCAACCTGGCCTCGATGCAGGCACACATGCGCGGCCATTCACCCAGCCAACTCCCGCCGGGATGGACTATTCGTTCCACCTTTCTCTACTCCTCCACCTTAAGGCCATCTCGGGCCTCGACCTCCCTGTAGGCCCCCTTCCTCCTCCACCTGAAGGGATATGAAGCTTCTCTGCCTTCAGACAAATAATGAAAACATTGAAGATGGGCTGGTGGGCTGACTAGGCTTTTGACCTGGCACCGCGGTTTCGGCTGTCTAGCAAATTCGGCTCTAAGAAGCATCGCAGAAAGGCCGCCAAGAGTCCTCTTCCACATGACCGCGGGGTGCAGAAGCCTGGGTTAGCGATCCCGCGTGGGGATTTCACAAGCGAAGGTTAACTATGCGGGGACTGTTTATTTCATCACCCAAATAAAGCGTTTTCTGTGCTTTCCTCTCAGGACTCCCAGAAAGTCTAGTCTGTGTGCGTGGGTGGGAGTGCGTCCAGCCTTGCCCCTAATCCTGTAGCGGCCCGTAGTGGGCGTGCGTCCACAATTCCGCGCGGCGGCCACCTCCTCTACCTCCCCGTCCTCCCCCACAAGCAGAGGGCCATGAGGGTTCATGGTTCAGACACTTAGCAGCAAGCCCCGAGGGAGAAGGTTGTGAGAACCCAAGTTACTACTAGCCTTTCTACAGCAAGCAAAGGTGTGAGGCGTCTGAGTCTTGGGGACACCCGGCCTGGGGCTTGAGGGGAACGCGTGCTCCGCTCTGCTTTCAACCACCCGTCTCTTCTCCTTGAGGACGCGGGCCGCGGCTTCTGCAGCATGTTTTCTCCACGCTGTGTGAAACGGCAGCCAGGTCGTACCTAGAACTGAGATTAACCCTTGGCCACCGCCCCTTCCCCAGCCAAAACCTCCAGCAGTCGCGAACTTCAATTCCCACTGTCTTCGGGCTTCCCAGGGTAAGAAGCCCTCTGCATTCTGGGAGTGGTAGTTCATATGGGCCGCTGGCCTACACAAGCACGGTGGGAGGAATCTGGGGCGAAAATCACACCTCCTAGTGGCTCCGGAGCTCGCTTTCTCTTTGGGTCGGGTTGGGTCCCCACAGTCCCAGCTCTCGCGGTCCTAGCTCCCGGCGGAAGGAGCGAGGTGCCTGGACTACATTTCCCTGAGGCCCCTGCGCCTCACCCCTCTCCGGCCACAACGCGGCGTTGTTGCTCTTCTGGCCAGGTCTAAGGGACTGCTGACCGGCCTCGGACTCCCGTTCCCGTGGTGCCCCGCGCGTGGCCGGCCCAGCCCCCCGGCTCCCGCCAGACCAGCGGCGGCGCGGGTTGTTGTCGTGAGCCGCGGCTCTTCCCACCCTCCTCTCTTTCCCCTCCCCCCCGGCCCTGCTTTCGGGCCGCCCCTCCCCCTGCCTCCCTGGCCCCTCTCACGGTGCCAAGATGGCGGCGGCGGCGGGCGGCGGCAGTTGCCCGGGGCCTGGCTCCGCGCGGGGCCGCTTCCCGGGCCGGCCGCGAGGCTCCGGTGGGGGAGGGGGCCGCGGCGGACGGGGCAGCGGGGCCGAGAGACTGCGGGTAGCTCTTCGGCGCGGCGGCGGCGCGGCGGGGCCGGGCGGAGCTGAGCCAGGGGAGGACACGGCCCTGCTCCGTTTGCTGGGGCTCCGCCGGGGCCTGCGCCGGCTCCGCCGACTGTGGGCCGGCCCGCGCGTTCAGCGAGGCCGGGGACGGGGCCGCGGCTGGGGCCCGAGCCGGGGCTGCGTGCCGGAGGAAGAGAGCAGTGACGGGGAATCCGATGATGAGGTGAGGCGGTCGGAGGCGTTCCCAGCGCCGGGCTGGGCGGAGGCCGGGGGCTTCCAGGGGTCTAAGTGGCCCAGAGGAGAGACCATGGGGGAGCGAGCTTCTCCGGGCCCCTACAGAGAGAAAGGGTCCTGGAAATAGGCATGAGAGGAGGTAGGCTGCACGGAGCTGTCGGTGGAAGGGGCTTTATAAGTGAAGAGAGAAGCCCGAGGTGCAGCTGGGCTCTTGGGCCCGCGGCGGGTCATGCTGAAATGCCCTGGGCTGATCCTTCTTGGCAGTTGACAAAGCTAAGATAGTAGAGATTTGGGCGAGGAAGTTAATTGGGACTGCATGCCTAACCAGTGGTGGTTGTCAGCAGCAGCTTGGCTTTAGTGGACCCAGGCTAGGGCTTTCTGGGCTCTTAACCTGTAACCTGCCCCGCCCAGCCTCATAACCTCTGACATAGCCCTGGTTTCACCAGTGCCCCATTTCCTCTTCTGACCTAAAGTGGAGAGAGGGTATAATGGTGGAGGGCTTCCTCTTAGGCACAGGTTGAAGAGAAATGGAATGCAGGCTATGATGGGGCATTCTAGCAGGTCTGAGTTCAGCTCAGGATTTATCCTCAGCCTCAGAAAAAGCAGGAGCTTTTTCTGTGGGGATCCTAACGTGGTAAACATTTGATACACACCATGCTTGGGAGACCCTTTTCTCATCTTCATTCTGGAAGAAATTACAGCTCAAGAAAATGTAAATGGAGGTCCCACTTTTTTTTTTTTTTTTTTTTTTTTTTGAGTTGGAGTGTAAGGGAATCTGATGGTAGTGCCTACTGCCTGGCCTGAGAAGACCCTGGTCTGTTTTCTTCTGGGCCAGCGAACCATTGACGGCTGTGCTGGCATGGTTTGGCACAGGAAGTGAGGGTTTATCCTTAAATAGGGAGAAACCCTGTTTTCTACTCCCTTCCAGACTTTTTAGGGGTTTTTTTTCCTTGAAAATAGGGGTCCATTAAGGGAGAAACTGGGGATATTCCTCAATACCTGAGTCTCAGGTGGAACAAGGGCTTTGGCACTGACTGCTGTTTCTCCCCTCCACCCTTGGCCCCCTAAATCAGGAATTTCAGGGTTTTCATTCAGATGAAGATGTGGCCCCCAGTTCCCTGCGCTCTGCACTCCGGTCCCAGCGAGGTGAGTGATGGGGAAACTCTATCTCTGTAGCCTTGTAGGAATGCTATTCTTACTTATTGTGTCAGCTTTTCCCTGTTCAACTAAAGTCTGTGTCATCAGTTATTGAGTGTGTTCTGTATTCAAAGCCCAACCTGTGCTGGGCTGTGGGGGAAACAGACAAGTAAGACTTAGTACTGGGCCTCCTGGAGCGTGTTCCTTAGTCCCCAGGACTATATTGACCCATTTCCCCACACCTATTCTCCTTTTAGGTCGAGCCCCCCGAGGTCGGGGCCGCAAGCATAAGATGACCCCTCTTCCGCCTCCTCGCTTAGCAGATGTGACTCCTACACCCCCAAAGACTCCTGCCCGGAAACGGGGTGAGGAAGGCACAGAACGGATGGTGCAAGCACTGACTGAACTTCTTCGGCGGGCCCAGGCACCCCCAGCCCCCCGGAGCCGGGCATGTGAGCCCTCCACCCCCCGACGGTCTCGGGGGCGGCCCCCAGGCCGGCCAGCAGGGCCCTGCAGGAAGAAGCAACAGGCAATAATGGTGGCAGAAACAGCTGTGACAATCCCCAAACCTGAGCCCTCACCTCCTGTGGTTCCAGTAAAACACCGAACTGGCAGCTGGAAATACAAGGAAGGGCCTGGCCTAGTACCTGGAACCCCTAAACGTGGAGGACAGTCTGGGCGAGGAGGCCGTGGAGGCAGAGGCAGAGGCCGAGGTGGACACCCCCTCGTGATCAAGTTTGTTTCAAAGGCCAAAAGAGTGAAGATGGGACGATTGTCCTTGGGACTTGAATCAGGTCAGGGTCAAGATCGACATGAGGAAAGCTGGCAGGATGCCCCTCAAGGAAAAGTTGAATCTGGACAGGGAGATGGCCCTTGCTGGAACAAGGAGCAGAAGTTGGAGGAGGAGGGAGAGGAGAAAGACAAGGAGGAAGGAAAAGAGAAGGAAGAGAGAGCTGTAGCTGAGGAAGAGATAGTGTTAGCTGAGGACAAGGAAGAGGCAAAGCTGCCCTCACCACCCCTGACTCCTCCAACCCCTCCACCTCCCCCACCTCTTCCATCGCCCTCAATATCACTTTTCCCACTTTGCCCTCCACCACCTTCAGTGACCCCACCACCTCCACCATCCCCTCCTCCACCTCCTGCTCTGGAGGAGCAGGAAGAATCCCCTCCCATGGTCCCAGCTACGTGCTCCAGGAAGAGGGGCCGACCTCCCCTGACTCCCAGCCAACGAGCAGAGCGGGAAGCTGCTCGGGCAGGACCAGAGGGCACCTCTCCTACCACTCCAACCCCCAGCACCACCATAGGAGGCTCTGTGGAAGACAGCCCCACTGTGGCCCCCAAAAGCACCACCTTCCTGAAGAACATCCGGCAGTTTATTATGCCTGTGGTGAGTGCCCGGTCCTCCCGTGTCATCAAGACACCCCGGCGATTTATGGATGAAGACCCTTCCAAACCCCCAAAGGTGGAGATCTCACCTACTCCACGGCCTCCTGTTCCCATCTCCCCACTTGCCCCCCAGGAACCAGCACCAGCCCCCTCTGCACCGTGTGCCCCAACTCCTCTATCTGTCCCAGTCCCACTCCCTGAAAAGAGACGGTCCATCTTAAGGGAACCCACATTTCGCTGGACCTCACTGACCCGGGAACTGCCCCCTCCTCCTCCTGCTCCTCCCCCAGCCCCACCCCCACCCCCTGCTCCTGTCACTTCATCCCGGAGGCCCCTGCTCCTTCGGGCCCCTCAGTTTACCCCAAGTGAAGCCCACTTGAAGATCTATGAATCGGTGCTTACTACTACTACTACTCTTGGGGCCCCTGAAGCCCCTGAGCCAGAGCCGCCTCCCGCTGATGAATCTCCAGCTGAGCCTGAGCCACGGGCAGTGGGCCGCACCAACCATCTCAGCCTGCCTCGATTTGCCCCTGTGGTCACCACCCCTGTTAAGGCCGAGGTGCACCCACCTGGGGCTCCAGCCCTGAGCAATGGGCAGCAGGCTCAGGCTCAGCTACAGCAGCCTCTACAGGTCATGCAAACCCAGCTGCTGCCCCAGGCACCACCACCGCAGCAGCTGCCACCACTGGAAAAGACTCGGACTGCAGGCATGGGTTCCTTACCACTGTCTGGTGTAGAAGAGAAAATGTTCAGTCTGCTCAAGAGAGCTAAGGTACAGCTATTCAAGATTGACCAACAGCAGCAGCAGCAGAAGGTGGCATCTTTGATACTGGTAAGCAGGGTGCTTTGGCCAGGCCCTGTACCCAGCCATTTCGCCTCGATTCCCTGCAGTCCCTTAGCCACCTGCATCCTAATTTCGGAGGGAACCCTTAGAACCAGCCCTCCCCTGTTCCTCAGCTTCCTGTATTCCTTCCCTGGAATATTCACTTCCACCTTCATTTTCCAGCCTCTGACCCTGCTTATTATTTCCCCACCAGCCAAGTCCTGGAGGACAGATAGAGGAAGTCATGGGGACTGTTAAGCATATCTCAGATAGAGGTTCTGTCAAGTCTGAAGATGAATCGATGG